TTACGAATGTTTTTTTGGAAAGTGATTTTTCCCTTTTTGTTTTCCCTAAAACCACGACCGGACCACAAATAAACTTTTCCCAGAAATGACTTATGGATTCAGAATACAGGAAGGAAGGAAGGAAGGATACTTATGGATCATAATTGTAGTCACAAGAAAAAAAATAATATTTGTGACATAAATTCATATTTTGTAATTAATATTTTTAAGTAACTAATAGTTAATTTATTTGTGACGATTTTGATCATTACAAATTTAAGTAGTTTATTATGAAAAATTTTTAGTGAGTAAATATTATTTTTATGTCTAAATTATATATTATAATATTAAAAATTAATATTAGTGATTATTATCTTAAATTAATTACAAATATAAAAAATACTAATGACCAATTGATAATCAATCATCATTTTCAATCACAAAAAACCCATTTTCTCATAGTGACAACAGAACATAGTTTAATTTGGTGAGAACATGCTTGTAGTTTAGTTACCACATTTTTGCTGTAAATGATTTCTTATGCTTAGTTTTGATAGGTGTGAGATTCGAGTTTTATTCTTAACATAAAAAAAAAAATTTTAATTTAGTAAATTTCTATGACCTTACGAACAATAATTGACTTTCTTCAAGCATTTTAAAGGAGGTAAAACACCGGTACCAGAGGAAAAAAAATCTCAATAACCATTAGTTAGGATTCATTTGTATTATCATTGATAATGTTTAGCATTCAAAAAGGCTTCCTTTGTCATTTTTTCTCACGTATCTTTTTCATATAGTATTTTCTTTTTACAACTTAAATTTATTATTTTAATTATTTTTTTATATAATTTCCTAATTTTAGTTAATACTGTAAAGTTCTCTCTGTTTATTTTAGTAGTTTAATTTAAATTTTTTAATTTTTAAGATACAAATTTTAGATATAAATTTGAATAACAATTGCGAATTTTTTGTCCTTATCAATAGTTTTTGTTAAGTGTTTTTATTTGATAAAAAAATTAATTATTATTGATATAGATTATTTAAATTTTCATTTAAAATTCATTTTTAAAATAAAAAAGTTAAATTAAATCTATTAAAAATAAATCAAAACAGTAAATATTTGTAGACAATAAAAGACCAAAAAATATATAATTTTTGCATAATAAAATACTAACAAGTAAAATCTCTTATAATTAATTAATATTTTAAAAAAATATTGTATTTCACTATAAATGTATTAGTAAGTAGATATATAAAATGTGTATCTTTAAAATTGTCCACAATGACTCGTGAATACCCTAATCATCTAAACCAAAAATAA